GACGCCTGTTTTTAGGAAATGGGGAGGAAGAACCGAGGAGACGCCACCGGAAGGCCGGTCGGCTGCTCCACAGTGGAGAGGTGGTGGGGACGCCCGAACTGGAGGGGCACGGTGGCCCTTCTCTCGGGGTACCTGCCCGGAATGAATGATGAAGGCTCTGGCCTTTTGTTCCCAAAGAAAGCTCTGGTCTTTTCTGTTTCTTTTAAGTGGGTGAAAGTTCAGCCGTCGGGTTTCTGGTAACTCTCCATCCCTTTGTCTGAACCTGGCAGCCATACCCATTTCCAGTCCTTCACCAACAGGCTAGCTTACTGTGAGGTGCCAGAGAATCCAAAAGCAGAAATGCGTGAAATCTTCCAGGCAGGCTATTGAGTTTGAAGTAGTCTGGTTGGTTTTTTGTTTGTTTGTTTTGTTTTATTTGTTTTTAAATTTCAAAATGTAAACCCACAATTTAGTTTTCCTATCTGGTCTTTTCAGCCGTTAATAATGCTTATCTCATTCCTCCCCAGTCCCAAAGTGTAAAGGAGCCAATACATACAAAGGATCAGTGTGGTCTTTGACATCAGTAGAGGGGATCAACTTGAAGATTTGGATTGCCTACCGAATATTGCTTATTGCTTGGTGGCTGACACTATTCTTGGAGGGGAACTACTATCCATGTCAAAGGCAAAAGGGCCTTGGTCTTCTTTTAGAACCTCGTGGATTTAAGACAGACTGTAACATGTGTGAGCCTCATGCCCTGTATATGTTGTTTGTTTGATCTGGTTTTCTCCTTTACATGTCTGTGGGCTTCCTGCTTTCAGAGAACAGTGGCTACATTCTAAAATATTACCCCTTCCCTTTTTGATGAAGAGTTTGCCTTTCTTTTCCTGTCCCTTTGAATACCTCTGTGAAAAGAAGGAAAGTGTCTCTTTTTGTTTGTTACACCAACACTCAAACAGCTCTAGAATGGAAAAATAAAAGCCACTTCAGCTGATGGAGCAATCTCTTTGATGGGCAGGATTTGCTCTCATCCTATTTTGCAGTCTTTTACCCATTCAAAAATTAGAAAACACGGAGATTATCTTTCGGAGTATCATAGAACGTAATGTTTGAGTGGTTACATGTTATTGTACTCCACAAATACTACTTGTGTCTTTCTTGATGATCTAGCCCTAGGTCTCCTTTGATTTTGATTGATGTAATCTTTTCATTACCTGTTTTTCTATTATAGGCTAGATTGGAAAGTTGTTTGTGAGCATCAGTTTGACTTGAAAATAAGCCTCCAAATACAAAGTAACGTTCGGACAGTCCTGCTTGTTATGATCCATACATTAAAACGTCCAGAGTAGTAGTCCACATATTTTTGTCTTCATTAAACATCTTGCTGTGCTATTTACACTATTTACCATAGTGACATGCAGGTAAATTACAGAGAGGCTGTACAGCGGGGGCGGGGGAGGGGGAGTTGTGAAGCGACCCACTGTCTTTGAACTGTGCCCTTTTCCCTGATAGCTGCGTTGGGACTCAGTTGAAGGACAGTTCATTAGACCATAGTTTATGCTCTGCCTCAATAAAAGAACACCTTGCAGATCCACTCAGAGTGGAAACTCTGGTTCCTGTGGCTTTGGATCGTCTTCCAGACTTCTGCCATTTATATGGAGGAAGACTGGAAGGGAAGAGTAAGACAGTGGTGGCTCCTGAAAAAACCCTTACGACGTGAAACAGTTCCTCTGGGATGCAGCTTATTTTGTACCTTGCTTTATTCCTTTTAGTCTAGTCTCAAGACACCTAAGCACGTGCCTGCACTCGCATGCGCACATGCGCGCGCACACACACACACACACACACACACACACACTCCTCTAACAGCTCTGACATGATAGTAACTGTTACCATTCAATTACTGCCTGTGTGTGCCAGCAGCTGGCTGGATACTTGCATAGTTTTCAACTAGAAGTAATAGAACAGCAGCTAAGTTTAGAGAGTAACAAAGTCCTTACCTGGAGTGGCACAGGTGGTCAGAGGAGCTCAGTTTCCCGTCTTTGCAGTCACGTTTCACTCACCCATCCTGTCTCTCCACTAGGAAATGACCCTTCTTCCTCAGCCCCAGCTGTGATTGCCCTGCTGATTAGATTTTAAATTGAGTGCGTGGAAAGGCATCTCCTTCAAAACCTAAAGCATGTCTGATGCCCTTTTGGGATGGTTCTTAGAGTGTCGAACCACACAATGGGATGGTCCATCTCCCTTCAGTAATTGCCTAGAGGATCATCACTGACAAATGCCATGCTCAGTCCTAAAAGGAAGCTGGCATGGCAGAAGGATGCTGTGCACAGGGTGGATTAAAGCTACAGCATCCAACCGTGTTGAAGAGGCCTTAAGGCGCTCTGTTGTCTTGGCTTTTGGGTCTTCTGTTCATAAGACTCAGGGTTCCTTTGGCTCCGTGTCTTCCTGTTGCCCTTCTGTGTGGAACCTGTGCCATCTCCAATAAAACCAGATTGACTATGGGTTATCTCAGTAGCTGGGAGGGCTGTATTTTTATCCGTCCATTCAACATTTATTAATTAAGTTTCAGCAAAAAGATGAGCATTGTGCTTGGAACTGGAAATGACTTAGTGTAGACCACCTCCATAGATTTGTGTTACAGCGTGAACACAGAATTAAAACAAAACAAAGCAAACGTTTAGGGACCAAATTCTTTCTTTTTATGGTAAGGACTCCACTTGGGTGGCAAAGACCAAAGTGATGCTTGGTGATGTCTGGAAAATCTCTTAGCAGGTAACCCGAGTTAGCTTGGAGGAAGAGAAGCAAGTTGAATATTCTAAGGAGAAATAAAAAGCCAATGTCGTCTAGCAGATAAGACCTTCCTAGGCCAAAGAAACAGAAAGCTGGTATTAGCTGGAGGCCAGATAGACAAGAAGGTGGCACCTTGAACAAGGGAAGTAGCTACCAAGGCTTGTGGGTCAGGGAGGGATCAAAGTGTTACCCTAAACATTTTAGGAAGCTAAAAGATAGTTTTAAGTAGAGGCACACACTACAGTCTTTTTTTGGTGTGTGTGTGGGGGTTCCTTGTGGTCCAGGCTGGCCTCAAACTCACAGACAGCTGTCTGCCTCTGCCTCCCAAGAGCTGGGATTAAAGGTGTGCGCCACCACCACCTGGCTATGATCTCTTTTTAATAGAGAGGTATGACTACCATATGAAAAAGAGTCTGTCTTGGGACAGGCAACAAGGCCAGTTATGAGGCTTCGGTATCACAGGTAGGAGATGTTGCATGCTGGTTTTGTTTTTGTTGGGCACTGTGGAATTGCAGCGGCGAGCTGATTGGAAATATACTTTGAAAGCGCTGTTGACAGTATTTGGACCTGCGGAGTGGGGACCACAGGGGACTCAACCCGTGGGGTTCTGGTCTTCTGCCTATGAATTTTGCTGGACGAGCTGCAGACCTGCAGAGCCTGGTGCTTTGGTCTGGACTCAGCGTGCTAATGTATAAAGGTTGGTGCTGAACTGTTCTCTCCCTCCACAGCTTTGGAATTCTGGGTAGGGCAAAGAAGACATAAGAATAACCTAAAAGCCAGAGGCAAAAGGAATATTGAAACAGAAAGTGACTAAGGCCTGCTTCATTATTCGCCTTGTTAAATGTGATTGCCACACTCTGAACTAAATCAGAGCCCCTGCAGTTGTGTCCACCCAATCCGTGGCCCACATACCTTTCAGGATAGCCGTGAATGAAGCCTAGTACATCGGTAGATGACACTATCATGTTACAGTGACAGGTTGGGCACCCCTGCATGCCAGCTTCTCTGCCCAGGGCACTGAGTAGCTATTAGGTTGCTTTCTCATTAGGCAGAGAAGATTTCCACAGATGGGGGCCTTTTCCTTTCATCCTTAAACCTTTCTCCTTTTGGCAGTTGGCGAGAGGAGGCTCAGAGTGTGGGAGTTTATTTGCATTTTGCATCTGCTTTCCCATTTCGGCCTCAGGAATGGTTTCTTCAGAAACTGAAGGAGGGGGAGGAGGCTTGATTGCACTCTGGCACATCAAGGGAAATTGAAAACAATTGTATTATTATTTCCCAGCAGAACAATTGTGCGGACCTTTCTCATGGAACCCCACAGTAAAATGGTCTCAGGATAGCAGCTTTTTACCTTTGTTTATAGTAGAAAGCTCGCCCCTCCACCAGGATAGGGTATGTCAGTCACAAGAGAGGAATCTCTCTCTCTGTCTCTCTCTCTCTCTCTCTCTCTTCTCCCCTCCACCTCTTCTCCTTTCCCTTGTTTCCCTCTTTCTTTTTCCTCTGCACATGTATGCACAGGTATGTGTGTGTTCATGTGCACATGTGTATTGTATGCATGCACATGGAGGCCAGAGGCTAGCAACAGGTGTCTTCTTCAGCCACTCCAATAACTTCTGAGTAGCTCACTGAATTGGAGCTTACTAAGTAACCTAGGCTAAGTGATCAGTAGTGAGGATTTACTTGTGTCCATGTCCATAGCATTAGGATTACAGGTGCATGGACCTATGCCTAGCTTTTTTTGTTTTTTGTTTTTGTTTTTTTGTTTTTTTAATATCCATATTGGGGATTGAACTTGTCTCCATGCTTGCCTAGCAGATACTTTACCGACTAAGCCATCTCCCCTCCCTCCCACATTATTTTTAACCCGGATTCTTTCTGTCGGGCAGAGACCAGCAGACATGGCCATGCCGCTCCTTTCCTTGCAGAAGATGTGAAAGTCTATCCCCCATGCTGTGTAATGATCTGACTATTTTTAGACTCGGGCTGCTTGAGATAGACGTTGCTATTTTCGTCTGCAGCCTGGTGGTGGGTAGACAGCTCCTACTTCACCCTACATGGAGCACTTTCCATTTCGTCCGACCTCAACCATTTGGGAAGCCCGCTCTTCCACCCTTTGGAATTCCTAGCAGGGCGTGAGCCTCCGAGCTCAGTTGTTACCTCTCAACTGAGGTGCGGATGTGGTGGATCCTCAGATTCTTGGGGCAGCACGGAAACATTCTTCCCCAGGGTGTAATTTCTGTTACTAATAAGATGTGCACAGCGGTGCTCTCCTCCCATAGGAAATGAGTGATATAATTTAGGGGATTGCCAGGGGAAAGGCCAGTAGGCTGGGACGTGCACATCAGCATGCGAGGATAGCTTGGATAAATTCTGAAGCGGCTCGGTGGGTTCTCTGTCCTTCCGTGGGTAGTGGATATACTCAGAAAGTTCATTTAGGGTCTAGCTAGGCGTCTAGTCCAAGTGAAATGTCTTCACAGTCCCATGCCCAGCCTGCACTGGGGATGGACCTTTCGGGGACTCCCTGTTGTGTCTTCCATTATTTGATCTGAGGATACCAGGTTCTTTCTAATCAGGGGGGAAATATTAGTTTGTCTTTTTTTTTTTTTTTTTTTTTTAATGGTTTAAAGATTGGCTTGATTGGGTACTGGCAAACAAACAAAACGACCTCCAGACTGTCTGGACTTTTTTTTTAAAAAATGGCTTTTGTTTTGCCTTGGTTTTTCGTTTGTTTTGGTTCTGTTTTACTTTGTTTTTGTTTTGTTTTGGTACTTTGCTTGTTGACAGGTGGAGCTCTGGGATTTCAAAGCTGTCAAAGCTTTTATCCGTTTGTTTCTCTGTGCCTGCTGTTTTGCTCTTTTATTCAACTCTCTCTCCCTGTGTGTGTGTGTGCATGCGCGCGTGCACACGCGTGTGTGTGTGTATGTATTTTAGAGCCACGGCCTCAAGGACTAACAATGTGTGTGGTGTTTGAAGCAAACTCTTTTCGCTCCGGGAGCAGGGAGGTGAAAACGTGCCTCGTTGCTCAGGTGGCCTGGACGCAGCTGGGTATCAAATAAGCTGCCTGGTGCCAGAACAGGTAATGCAATACAGGAGAACTAGTCTGGCAGGCCCTCTGATGTGGGATGCAGGCTGTGCAGATCTGCATACAGGAAGCGTGTTGTGTCCTGAGTGAGAAAGCAGAGACCTTCCAAATGCAGTGTGTACCCTTTTGTTTAGTGACAATAAGTAAAAGGCAGGGGAGGGGGAGCAGAAATCCTTACTTTAAGATTTAAAGCTTGGTTATGCACCACCCCTTTGATTTGGGGGCTGAGGGGGGCACAATTGAGTCTGATGCGGCCTCTGTTTGCTTTTGCTTGGCACAAAGTTTGCCTGTTGAGCAAACTCAAGGGCTATTTCATCAAATAAACTAGATGTTTGCTTTAGATTCAGTGTTGCGGCGGGCCAAGTTGACACCTCCTTAATGACTTTGGTTTTCTTGTTGATAACAGCAGCCTTTTCTTTTAGAAGGGACTGAACGGGCACTGCAGGCTGCCTGCACAGCCAGGGTGGAGTGTTTCTCACGTTATGGCTTCTCTTGTTTCCATAGTTTCATGAACCATCGGGCCCCAGCCAATGGCCGCTACAAACCAACTTGCTACGAACATGCTGCTAACTGCTACACACACGCAGTGAGTACACCTTTCCTGTCGCCGTTCTTCACACAGGGCTCTGGCGTGACAAAAGACTTCTCCAGTAACTTTAGCACTAGCGAGTGAACTACTCATCCCTTTGACCTTAAGTACCTGAGTGTCAGTGCTGGGTTATGTCACCAGAATCTGAGGGTTGTGAGCATGGAGAACGCTCTGGACACTCTACCCTGTATACAACAATACCACAAGCAAATATAAACAGAGAGGATGCTTTCATGCAACAAGAGTAAAAGCGACGTTATCTCTAATGGTGTTTTTTTCCTAGACAAATAAGTTTTTTTTTTTCTTTATGAAGAAACATTATTACTCTCCCCACTCTTGTCTTGTACTGGAGTAGTGGAAACTGGCTTCTGATGTTGAAATCTGGGTCTATGGTGTAAAATCTAACACAGAAGCTGACCATAGTGGCATGGTCCTGTAATCCCATCACTCAGGAGGGAGAGTATGGAGAACTCAAAGTCATCCTTACCTACTCAGTGGTTGGAAAGGAAGGAAAAGGGAAGGGGAGGGAGGAAGGAAGGGAGGGAGGGAGCTGCAATCAGAATTCTTAGATTCTGGTTTCCTCAAACTTCGGGCTTTAGAAATAGATTATTCAACATGTACTATTTTAAAATGATGAAAGCCCCCCAACCCCTTTGTTCTGCAAGCACTCCCAAATTGATAAAATGAGCAAGTTCTAAGTAAAAATCGGGACATACTAATTCAGCAGCTGATTTGGGGTGTGTGTGGTGTTTTATACAATATAATATGGGCTTAATTCACTACTTTACTTAAATAGTGGGATCCTTTACTTAAATAGTGGGATCACACGCAGGACAGAATGCTTGGAAATCGGACCTCTCTGGGGGTTCTAGAATGTACTTGATGTTTGGATATTTTTAGTACCTGCTCTGTATCAGGTTAGAGAGGAGACTGGAACAGGCTCTTGTTTAATGAAATTAGGGTAAAGAACAGCCATTTTGCAACAGCTGGGCAATGCTGTCTTTGCTTGTTTCTGCACCCATTGGCTGGCCCAGTGCCCTGAAGCAGGAACATCTGCTTCCAGTGCAGCAACCAACTCCATCCACCTCTCGTTCTGATTATCCAAGGGAGACGAATGTTTGCTTAACACTTACTTTCTGAAAACTGGCAAACCTCTGTGTTTCTTAAGCGGAAGTTGACGCCAAGGTACTCATTTCTCTTCCCTTCCTTCCAGCTCCTGATTGTTCCAGCCATCGTGGGCAGCGCCCTCCTCCATCGGCTGTCTGATGACTGCTGGGAAAAGATAACGGCATGGATTTACGGGATGGGCCTCTGTGCCCTCTTCATCGTTTCCACGGTGTTTCACATAGTGTCGTGGAAAAAGAGCCACTTAAGGTACCTGGGGCGGGGCACGTCCTGTGCATATTGACGCAGTTGGCTAAGCATGTTCTCAATTCCCAGGCCGCTACAGTTTAGTCAGGAGGGTGACGAGTGGACTTTTTCCTATCATATGGGCTTTGAGAGGTCCCTTAGTTCAAGGCATTCTCTTTGGGTTGGGCACAGTTTTGAAGACCCCACTGCTGTGTTTGCATCTGAGGAAGCGGCACTCTTGCTGGCTTTCGAGGGCTTGCAGCTAAAATCCCAAGAGCTTATTTCCAGTTCTCTCACACACACTAGAAATGCTGGGAGAGCCCTAAGAGCCATAGCTATGGCCTGCAAGGAAGGACGTTAAACTTTCCGCTCCAGTCCTCCTGTGTTTAACCTTAAGTAAGTAATTCCACCTCACTGAAAGAGCCCCAGTTTCTTCCTTACGAAACTGAAGCTTATCGTGCTGCCTCATAAGGCTGTTATGATGCGATAAAGGGAGCGAGGTGATACCTGGGAAAATAATTCGACAACTAGAGAAAGAACGGGGTGACTAGGAGATACCTCACATTGAAGATAAACCGTGGGTTACTTTTAAAACAGTACCATAGTAAGACCTAAAGTGTTTAGATCTGTGCATATTAGAACGAAGGACAGAGCGTTATCATGTGAAAATGACTGCTTATCAGATATAACCTTTAATACTTGAGTCGGTCAAACCCCAAAGAGGGAAACCATTTTCAGAAGAACGAAAGACTTGGAGCAGGTGACAGGTGATTCAGAGGAGCATGGCCCTTGAGCTGAGCGTGGTGGCACATGCCTGTGGTCCTAGCGTGAAGGAAGGAGGAGTGGGAAGATCAGAAGCTTGGGGCCAGCTTGGGTTGTAGAAGTGATACTGTACTCTGAAACAGAAATGGAAGAAAAGATCTGTGGTTTTATAGTGTTCAGGAAAAGAAAAAGGAGAAAAATATCGCCTGACATGATGGCACTCATGTTTCCAATTCTAGTGCCTCGGAGACTGAGACATGAGGAATGCCGTGCGTTTGAGGCTTCCTAGGATTACAGTGAGTCCTGGGTATAACTAGTGAACTCTGTCTCAACAACAAAAAAAAAAGCAAACAAGACCAACAGCAAGGAAGAACCATTGCTAGTGGAGAGGCAGGTTGGGAAGGCAGGCTCTCAGCCCGCATTGTCTTTTCTCACCATGGCCTTTACAATTCTGCACGAAGGTTGCTCTCCGCTACCCTTTCCTATAAAGTGACAGTCCCATCCCTAGGATTACAATAAAACCACACCATTAAATCACAAGGGCACTCTGGGCCACACTCACAGGACAGTCACAGCAGTACCTGTGCCGGCTTCCCGGGACACAGAGTCACAGGGACCCAGAGGCCCGTCTGGACGCAGAGCACTTCATTATCTTCTTGGCACGGCCTGACGCTGCGGTTGCCTCGGCTCACTTGGCTCTGATGTCTAGATTTCTGAATCAATAAAGAGTTGTAGATGCCTACTTCGTATTCGGGGCCTCCCTGGCAGAGTCTAAAGGAGAAGGTAGAAGAGAAACGAGGTTCTCTTGAACCTTGAAAGGCATTGCTAGGATCACAAACCACATGTAGATTATTATTATTATTATTATTATTTTTGGCTCAGCATTCAATCACTGTCTTTTAAATGCCTAACAAAGTCAAATTAGGAGAGTGAAGGACAGTCCCAGCTTCTGAGTTTGTGCTGGGTACAACACTGAGAACCTTTACCACATTTCGTGTTCTCTCTGCTCAGGTCTTGTGACATGGTGTGAGTCAGAATGGTGGCCGGTAGAGCTTTTTGTTTTTGTAGTCCTGGGTACTGACTCTAGGATTTCATGTATGCTAGGCAAGTGTTTTGCCATTGAGCCACATCCCAGCTCTCTTCTTGCTTTTTACTTTGAGTAAAAAGTCACACTTGGATGCTCAGGATTGTCTTGAACTCACTGTGTATCCCAGGTAGAACCTTGACCCTAATATCGTCCCGCTTCAGACTTCCAGTAGCTGGGATCACAGGCCTGTGTCACAAGGCCTCGCTGTTGGCAGAGCAGGAGGAAAGTTCTAGGTTTGACCGTCTGCCCTAGCAATGTCTAGAAAGCAGAATTAGAAAGTCCTCAAGCCTTGCTAGGCGTCAAAATCATCTCAGGAATTCAAAACAAGAAAGTAAATTCTTCACTGTCTTCCCCTCTCCTGTTTTCCCAGCTCTTTCAAAGTAGACTCTTGCATCCATGAGTTTATGACTACTTTTATTCCTGGGTTTGTAGAGGTGGTGAAGTTTGGACTTTGCTTCATTAGACCTGCCACCGAATTATCAGGGAGTGAATTGCAGCTCCTGCACCATGCATCTTCACAGAGATTTTTATTTATTTATTCGCTTATACCTCCTTGTCAATTGGCTTTGCCTAGTAGTGTGTATAGTGAGGCTACGCTGTGTGCTGAGGCCCCACAAAATTGTAGCGTTTACATCCTAGAAACCAAAAATAGACTCAAAATAATGTTGTGGGGCTGGACATTATAGCACATGTCTGCAGTCCCAGAACTGTGAGAGGTGTAGGCAAGAGGTTCAGGAGTTCAAGCCCAGCCTCAGCTCCATAGCAAGTTCCAGGCCAGCCTGGGCTATGCGAGACCTTATTTGAAAACTGAACAATAAAGACCGTCCTCTCTATGTATGTTTTCATTTATTCATTTGTGCATGTTTTAAAAGATTATTTCTATGTATGTATGTGCCCATGTGTGAATGTATGTCGTGTGTGTAATGTTGATGGAGGCCAGAAGAGGACATTAGATTCCCTAAAGCTAGAGTTATAGGTGGGGGTGAGTTGCCTGACGTGGGTGCTGGGAACCAAATTCAGGTCTTTCGGAAGAGCGGATCCCACGGAAGAACAGTATGCTCTCTTAACTGCTACATCATCTCTCCAGGCCCCACATTTATAATTTTAAATGGCCTCAACAAAATACTGGGTCTTTTTGACATTTCGTGGGTCAACCTCAGTGAGTTGGATCTTTGTATATACGTTTCTTGGCTTTGACTCTGGACCGGTTTAGAAGTGCAATGGCTACCCTTTCACAGCAAAAACGCCATATTTTTGTTTATTATTGCTGGCCCTAAATTACTGATTTTCCCTTAATACCACGTACTGTCCACCCTGGCATGTTTAAAATTAAAGTTGTGTGAAAAAACAAGAATCTGAACTCAGCGAAACAAAAGACTTTAAAATGGGAGGGGGAACCTAGCAGAAGGAAGGGAGAGCTGGGACAGTAAGAGATGGTGGAGAAATGAGTAGGACCGAATGTGTTGTGTGTGTATATGGAATTGTCAAAAATTAAGGTCAGAAAAAGGATATGACCGCGGCTCGGGGCATATTAGCTGGGCGCTAGGACTGAGCCCTGCTCTGTGATAGGAACCAGGCAGAGGTTCTGGCAGAAATTCTACCCTCACAGAATTTCATCTTCCAAAAGAAAAGAAAAACATTAGAAAAGACTCACGTCACCTGACTATCGTGGGGCTCCACTGTCTCATGCCTATTACGTGTACAACCTAAAAATATGAAGCTTTTACTGTGACTTCCTGTCATTAAAAAGAAGACCCATGACTTTGAAGGGCGAGTTATGAATGCCGTGAGAAAATGAAACAAGCATGGGGCTTTTGACCTTGTAGAGTGATAGCCCGTGCTTCCTGTCTGAGCATCTTGACAAATTTGCCTGCTTTGTTGACTTCCCCCCCACAGGACAGTGGAGCATTGTTTCCACATGTGTGATCGGATGGTCATCTATTTCTTCATTGCTGCTTCCTACACTCCATGGTGAGACAGACTCCGCGGGCTCTGGAAAAGCCTCTTGATGATTAGAAGCCCTCACTCCTTTCCTCTCTTTCTCCCCATCCCGCTTCGCAGCCCTCCTGCATGCACTCCGCCCCACCCACACTGCATAGACACTTGCCCTCCCTCCCATTTGATTTACGTGGTTACAGTACTCAGTGCTTGGAAGGCTGTCTGGCATGGAATCATTCTGAAGGAGGTGCTGTAGACTTGGGTGTAGCTAGCAGGCTCCCCTTTCCTCTCCATCTTCTCCCCATCTATCTCTGCTGCTTTTCAGAATATTTGAAGATGAAATTTGGCAAATGGAAATGCTGTAAATACGTACGAGGAAAAGCAAGCTTCCTTTTGTAATGTATACTGTTTGTTTCTGCTCACTTGGTTCTCTTTGGCTTAGGAACTAACCAAACTAGTTCACTCCTTGAACTATCTAGTCTCGTCCCTTGCTCTTACTGCCCTTCAGACCCAGACCAAATGCAGCCTCTTGTTGCTTTAAAAGCTGAAATTAAAGAAAATTTAGTTTTCCTTTATTAAGACCTAGCCCAGTTTTAAACACTCAGAAAGGACCTGTTGAGCCGTCCATTGCTGTCGTCAATAGAAACGGCAGGCCTCTAGAATCCGGCTCATGCCGGCGCAGTCACTCAAAAGAAATGTAATTATCTGTTAGAATAAAAAAAAGTATAAGGCCTACCCAGTACCTCTCACTAAATTATAGGTCTCATTCATGTAGGAGCAAGCATGCTTAAAAGCTTTTGTGAAGCAATTTAAAGTAAATATATAAAAAAAATTAAATGTGAACTGAGTGATCACACGCAGAGTAGGAAATTTTTTTCTCATGCAGTTTTTAGATATGTCCGTGGTTAATTTTCCATTTGGGAATCTTAATTTTATAGTTAGAGCCAAATGGAACTTTTTTCATATTTATTCTTCACATGCCAGGGCACATGAGGTTGTGGTATGTTAAATTGTGATAAGAGACGCTCATAGCACAGGCTAGAGGAGTTCTCCTCGTATTCTGTCTTGGCAGAGAGATTGCTAAAAGAGACGAGTGTGTGTATTAGGTGTCTACTGTGGACATGTGATCCTGGTTCAGGATTATATTCTGGGTTCTCAGTGAGCTTTGTAAGCATTGCAGATGCTTGGTCAGAAATAAAACAGCCAGCAGCCTTTCCTTCAGTGGGTCCTGCTAGGGGGAGTCAGACTCAGCGGCATTCTGGCGTGTCTGTTTTTAGCTGGGACTATTTTTAAATCATGTCTATTCCCTAATACTAAAATTTGACCAGCAATCTTAACCTTTGGATGATTAATTTCACCAACCTTCCCCAACGCCTCCCTGCTGTGTTGGAGGCCTGCTGCCCTTGTCTTTAGCTTGCTGTGACTAGGAGAGCCTGGGCTCGGAATTCCTCTCATTTACCCCTTTGTTGTCGTTTACATTTGTAGGTTAAATCTCCGTGAACTTGGACCCCTGGCATCTCATATGCGTTGGTTTATCTGGCTCATGGCAGCTGGAGGAACCATTTATGTATTTCTCTACCATGAAAAGTAAGAGAAAAGTCACTTCCATTTGATCATTTACCATTAACTGCCTAAATTATTCCTGTGTTGCAGTGCGGTTTCCTTCGTGCTTGTACCTCACAATAGTAGAAATACATAAAGAGAAAATATATTGCTCTTAGTAAATCTTGACCTCCATTTGGTATTCGCTATTGCTGGGCGAGTAGGGGTGGGAAGGCATAAATGGCGTGTGTGTGTGTGTGTGTGTGTGTGTGTGTGTGTGTGTGTGTCATGATCAGGTTGAAAGACCAGTGCTTTTAGAGCCACTGGGACCTCATTTCTCATCCAGAGGCAAGCTGGCCCTGTCTGCTTCATAGACATCTCGGAGAATAGCCTTCCGGTTTCCATGGAGACCAAGGATAATCGATTGTAAGTGCCACAGCACAAAACTTCCCCAGATAGAAATCTGGAGAATGTTTGAGAAAAGAAGCTGACATTGGACACAGGTCCCCCACACCACACACGCACTCATAGCTGTATTGTGAGCGACAGAAACAAAGGCCTATGGGAATTTACCATTTGTCGTGAGATTGTGTCTCTCGGGCCTATCAGAAGCTACACCCATGTATTTACAGACATAGCCACCTGAACCGTTTCTAAACAAAGAGAACACCAAATAGACATATTGATGCCGAGCTTTTTGCAGACACCTGACTCCAAGTGCCCTTTGAATGTAATGAATTCTAAATCTGTTGTGTAATGTGTTATCAATCCAAGGGAACATTTGGTTCTTGGGTTCACACTCCCAGGTGATACCCTCTAGACAGCATAGCAGGTGAAGGCAGACCTTTCTGACAAATAAGCTCTGGAGCCCATTCTTCCTCCGCTGGGATTGGAGATCTCAGATGTCCTGCAGCCCAATGGAATGAGACTGGAAATTAATGTACGAAATGAAGAGAAGCAGGAAACACATCCTTTCCTCTGGTTGCAACTCCACCCCTGAAGAAGGCCGTTCCCACCTGTTCTCACCATGTTAAGGTCCTTTTTAACCCTGGATGGAACTGGTGGTGGACCAACCCGTGCTGGGAAAGGGAAAAAGAGCGTACTGGACTAGATTACAACTAGCTTTAATGGCAAACCTGTTCTAAGCAGCCTGTGTCAATCTCTGCCCTTTTCATCCAAGAAGAAATGTTACCTCATCATTACCCAGTTTGGTATGTTAGGGAGAGGCTCGGTGGTCTCCTACTGGGAAATGAATTTCCTTTGAGTGGTTTAAAAGCTTCTCTTTCTCTTTCAAAACGAAGCAAGGAGAAGCTGGCATGTGCATGATCTAAGCATTCCTGGGATGTGCGTCTAACTCCTCCTGTGTTCCTGCAGGTATAAAGTGGTTGAGCTTTTCTTCTATCTCACAATGGGATTTTCTCCAGCCCTGGTGGTGACTTCAATGGTGAGACACAGCTTTACAATTTCAGTTCCTTCCTTCTAAACTCCCGATACTCTGATGTAATGATAGGTAGACAGTTCTGCCCTTTGGAACTATGATGTGCCCATTAACTATTAGACGGAGAGCGAAACCCACATAGATGATGCAGTGTGCCACCGACTTGCCCGGGGTACCACATAAGGATTGGCTGGCAAAGCTCTGTGTGTTAGATTTGTTCTGTATTTGTTTGTTTTGGATGATGGAGCTGGTCGTCCCCGCCACCACACACAGTAGGTCACCATCCTTCCAGGGAAGAGTCTGGTCAAACAGAAGTGGCTGTTCCTGGTTCAATGATGCAGCTGTGTGAGCCTGAATCTCTGGAAGAGGCTACTGGAGAATAAACCTGAATTATTGACTCATAAGAATCTGAAGAATTAGGATTATGGTGGCCCACAGCTGGGGTCCCTACCCAGCCGAGACAGAAAAATGACAAGTTTGAGATCAGAAAGTTCTTCTCTCCAAAAAGAAAAAAAAGAAAGAAAAGAAAAATTTAAAAATAAACACGCACAATTTGCTTCTGCATCCTATTGGACAGTTTTCAGTTCCTTTCATTCTTTTTTTTTTTTTTGCACTTGCTTTTAAGTAATATTATATCTTTCTGAAAAAGGAAAGTAGTCTTGTTTGTTTGTTATTTTACTTTTAACTTTGTTTGAAGATAACGTTTGGGAACTTAAAGTGTTATGTTATCTTTAGTGGACTCTTGCATATAGCATATCTTAAATTCTCTTTCGACTTGAATACTGCTTAGAAATCTTTGCAGATCTCTCACTTGGACTCAAATGTATACATTGCAGTCTGATCTAGTGCTACCGGCTCATTGCTTATGTTCTCCGGTGCCTTGTGTTCAACACAGGGCATTAGCCACTGTGTTAATTAGAGAAGTCCAGCTTGTTCAGTTTGAACTCCTTTCTTTTTCTGCAGTTGCCCTGAGTCAGAATTGTACTTGAGATTTCATTACTGAGTTTTTTCATACAGTGTGAGAACATAATTCCCTCCCTCCTCAGAAAAATGCCTCTCAGAGCTGAAACCTGGTTCTGAATATTCCAGAAAGATGCTTGTGAAAATGTCAAAAATTACATCGCCTTGAGATGGGAGCTTGATGATGTACCTGGCCCCATCATATATGCATATTTAAATACATAGATCGATGTATATGTGTGTTGTGTGTGTATCCATAGGTGTATATATATAGTTCAGTTGGTAAAAGCTCCAGAGAATGCAGAGAAAAGGGAAGTATGTGACCGAAATGAGAAAATGGGTCATGGCTGTTTTATCGTTAGAGGGCAATTCAGGACATCCAGAGCCACATAAGCAAAGTCTATGTGGATTGGTTACTAATTATTAGAACAGAATTTCAAGTCAATTCCCTCCGGCTGTCATAAAAGCAGGTTTGTCCGGTATTTTTACTAGCCCAAATCTTTAATCAGCCCTTTCACAGGTGGTATAATAGCCCGTGACTAATGTTTATGAAAATGAAGCAGGGTAATTCACACTCGCTGTCACAGAACTTGGGGTCCAACAGGCAGATACAGTTTCTGTTCAGTAAGAGACTAATAAAATTTTATAATGTCCTTGATGGGGAGGGGGGAGATGAAGGACGGCCGACTCAGGTTGCTATGGGAACATGAGATCGAAGTGCTAAAATAAGTGATAGGTAAGCTGATTCGAAAGACAGGTAGGGACCCGGAAGTGGTCGGAGTGAGGCAGGTGTTACTGTTAGAGGATACAGCAGGCCTCAGGGTGAGTGGCACTGTCTTTGGAGAGCTGATAATTACCTGGGGGATCTAAGCGGAGTCCGGATCAAAAGGGTTATGTAAGAGTGAGCGCCCCGCGCTGTGGATCTCAGATTTAATCCCTCGGCCACAGAGAGAGAGAGAGCTAGAAAATGAATTAAAGCATTTGGGTTTTCCCGCATCGAGCACAGATAGTGCGGGACTGTGAGGCTTGCGGTAAGAGAAGCCAAACACTGAGCTCTGTGTTCTGCCACCTCCCCCATTGCCGTCCTGTAGACTCCAGGAGAAGCCCAGAGAACAGCTGTCTGCCCACAAGTCAGCTGGGAGACAGCTCATGGGGAGGGACCTAGGGAAGAGATTGCTGTTGAGAGAAACCTTCAGAAATCTACAGAAGAGTATGCTGGGCCAAGCGTCAAGCTGGATCTGTGCAGGGCAAAATTCTGTAAGCCCTTACTGAGAATAGCCATTTGAAGGCAGTAAACAAAATGTTGGTGCCAGCAGCTCCCATTTCGGAAACAGTGGAGTTTCTACCATCCCAGTGGTGAGACCACACTGGACCTCAAACATCTTCTGCTTTCAGGTGCCCGGAGTCACCTCAGGGCCGGAGTTCCTCTGCCCCCATGTCTTAGTTGCTTTTTACCATTGTGACAGAAAGCTCAAAAATAAAAATAAATCAAAACAAAACAAAAAGCCACAAAAACCAGAGGGAGGATTTCTTTTGCCTCTTAATTTCAGAGGCTTTCGTATATCTACCGTCCCTCGGCTGTTGCTTGTGGACTGTGCATCGCAAGGCACATTGTGGAGGAGCAGGGTGGCTCAGCTCATGGCAGACAGAAAACTGGCTTAGTAGGAGCCAGGGACAAGCTAACCACTTCAGAGGCATACCCCCAGCAACCCGCTTCCTCCACATTCTAATAGGTCAGTATATAAATTCTTTTGATCAAAATAGACAGCATACTAGGCTATGAAATAATCTTGGACGCTAAAGAATTGAAACTGTCCCACAAAAAGGAAAGATAGAGAACATCCAAATGTTTAAAGATGAAACAGCACACTCCTATATAAACTCCTGGGTCTTTGACTAGACTGTGAATGAAAATGCAACCTGACAACTTGTGGGCTGCAACCCCAGCGGTGTTGGGAAGGACTGTGGTGCTTCAGATGTCTCTGTGAGTGTGCGGGCTGATGGTGTGAGTCATCTTGACCAGGCCAAGGTACCTAGATGTTTGTCAGTTACCAGCCTAATTGTTGTGAAGGTACTTCGTCAGTAATGTTAGCATCCAATTCAGTAGACAGTGTGTATTTCCCTGTGATGTGGGGCCTCCAGCAGTCCCCTGAGGGACTTAGGAGAGGTTTTGCTAGGAAGGGTCCTGAGCAGCCTTTCTATGCCAACTGCAGTAGTAGCATTTGCTGGACGGTAGTCAGTGCACCCCTGCGGAGTTCAGCCTCGCTGCGCCATAGTGACATGAGCCAGTGCCTTACAGTCTGTCAGTACACACATGCACATGCGTGTGCATCTGTAATGCATGCAGACATCCACATATGTCTTACGGATTCTGCACCTAGTCCTACACCAGGGTAGTCCTGGAAACCTGGCTAGGGTGATGAGGGAATGAAAGAAGAACAGACACGCATGCAGAAAATCTGGGATCAGGTAGCATGCTGGTGGGAAAGAACGAGAACCAGACTTTATCTGTAGATGACTATCACTGTATAGAAGCTGGTATTTACAGAAAAGTCCTAGACATGAAGAATGAGTGTAGCAATGCATGCAGCTAGATACAAGGTTACCCGGAGGCCTCACACCTGCTTGTGCTACTGCCGTGTCTCTAGTGATCCCTGAGAAATTTTGGCACATTTTGTGAGTATTCAACACTTAACATCAATGGGATGCTGAAGATAGCCACCACAGCCCTTAAGGGTGTGGGAAGGAGATATGTTTGTGTAGTGATGGAGAAAGAAGACCCTGACCTCACCAAGAGGACTGCAGAGCTCAGGGAGGATGGGGTAGAACACGTGATCACCATGTGCAGAAGTCAGGCCCTTAGAAGACCCAGACAGGTTCCTGAACTGACAGACGGATGGAAAGTACAAGGCTCTGACCAGTGGTCTAGACAAGTCGTGCAGTGAGGACCCAGGGCAACTGAAGAAGATTGGAGCCCACAGAGGGCTACGCCACATCTGGGGCGGTCAGTTGTCTATGGCCAGCACGCAAGACCACTGGCTTCTCAGACTGTCCCCTGGGTATGTCCAGAAGAAATAAATGTAGCCCTTTTCTGTTTATTGAGGAAGCAGTGACATTTATATATGAACATGACTCAATTGAAGACGGGAAATGTTTTTAGGAAAAGGCTTAGAACATTTTGAGTGTCAATCTCGTGTCACACACAAACGTAATTTGAAGTATGGGCTTAGCTATAAAGCAGCCAAGCCTAAAGTTTCCTGAAAACAGAAACTTCGGCCACCTGGAACATGTTGTCATCAGTTTTAGGAGAGGCACAGATTTTGTGAGCTACGGAAATAAAGACCATGACAGAAGAAAAGCATGTCGGGGAGTTTTTCAAAATTAAAGTCTTTGCTTCTCTGAGGACTCAGTAAAGAAAATGGACAGGCAGTCACAGTTTGGCAGGAAGTGCTTGCTATGTCCATAATAAAGCCATCTGTGAAATATATGCTTAGTCTCTGAACCTCCAAGTCAATCCCAAAGTCATTTAAAGATAGGTAAAAGATTTTAACAGAAAGAAAAATATATATAAAAGAACCCATTACCCTTTGAAAAGACATGCATATAGTCAGTGGTCAAGAAAATGGAAGTTAAAACCCTTGTGACTGCTACAATATACCCCAGAGAACAGTTATGATTAAAAATATGAGATCCACACTAGTAGCCAGGATGTGAAATACTATGCCCCACCTCTCTATATTGTATTAAATGATAGGACCCACCTCCAACAGTTTTGTTTCCTAAATTTTTAGTTTCTAATCAAATTAAGCATGCATTTATCCTGTGATTCAGTGGTTTACTTAACAGAAATAGAAACACACATCTCCAAAAAGACTCATGAAGTTAAGATTAGTCTCATGCATAGCAATCCCCGAAATGGCAAGAATTAATAACTTATGTTTGATGAAGGAACTACTCAGCAAAAAAAAAAAGTAAGTATGCTCATGTGATGGCCAGAAAATAAGCAATATATAATTCCATGTATGAAGCTCTAGAGCAAGTGGGCTTTATATGTGTGGTGGTAACATAATAACGGTGCTTGCCTTTGCGGCTGGAGGGGTCCACGATTGGTTGGCAAGGGGGCACCAAAGAAGTTTACAGGGTTGTTAGCGTTATATGGATGTAATCAATGTAATCAAACTCATCCCGTTCTGCCTACTTGTTCTGATCTGTATACTCCATAAAATTAGTCACACAAACCAGTTTTGAAAACACCCCTCTCCCCAATCCCAGATGAAAGTGCAGAAGGCAGATTTAGTTCATTGACATCCCAATTCTGACAGTAGGAAACTCCAGGGCCTTGCGCAGAGTTCGTAAGCTCTCCGTTTCCTGTCAGTAAATGCTGTTGGCAGTTGATAGTGCCCAGTTTAGGGTCATGAAGATTAGAGTGAATACGTACACTTGGGTGCTACCCGCAGCATCTTGAGTCAAAAAGAACAACACTTGGCTTCCTCTGGAATTAAGTCTGTTCTGGTCTTTCAATGTCTGACGAGATAAAAGTCTTTTGGGGAACTGTCTCTTAAAAGAATGTGTTTAAAAACTTACGGGTATACTTCGTTTGGTCTCTTGCTTATCTGGACAAAGAGCGTTGGAGTGTCAGGAACTGTCTTTTAACAGGATGTGTTTAAAAACTTACTGGTGTACTTCATCTGGTCCCTTGCTTATTTGGACAAAGAGCATTGGAGTGTGTCAAAATCAAGCCAAAACCAAAGCATGGTGTCTCTGAGAACAGAGTGTGGATTGGCCAGCCGTGTGACTTTGTCAGGCTACTACTCCGAGTCTCCTTCCCTCCAAATAAGGAGGTATTACACGAGTCCCTTCCACTTGGGGTTCTTACTCGCCTAAGAGTCTGCTGCAGCCATTACCCCAGTGCTCCTAATGCATGTACAAGGATGTTATATCATGGGTGTTGATAGCTCTATAACCTATATGAGTTAATACATGCCTGTGATAAATTGGCTTGGATTTTTTTTTTTTTTTGGCTTTTAGTTTGCTTTTGTTTTTTGTTGTTGTTACCATTTTTAAAGTCTGGTTGAAATCTCTTCTGAATAAAGAAAATCTGTTACCGGTCATTTTGAGTCCTCCCTAATCTTTTAATCCTACAGAACCCGGAGGTTCATATGAATGTTGAAGTAGGGCTGATCATCACACCGGGCCTGATGTCCTCTCGCCTGGCACTTAGCTTCTTCTAGGCTGCTGTCATTGCTTCTGCCTAGGCCTATGGGCTCTTTCCTAGCAGATGGCTGAGCTGGAATCTTCCCCTTGTGTTTGTCTGACACTGGGACTTATGGATTTGCTGTCCTAGGGCATCCGCATTCGCTTCCAAAACCTCACCACCCTCTGGCCTGGCTTTTACTCCCCCTGCAGGGCCGTCTGCGGCACTGCCTCCTTCATCACTGCATTCATCCAAGTCAGGTCACGGTTTTTTTTCTTGTAGATGGACCTTTGACTCTCTCCAGACAACCTTAGAAACGCTTGCTTTTGACTTCAGATACACAGGACTTTACCACCTGGCGGCACAGGGCGAATTAAGAAATTCCTCGGGCTGTGTGACATGTCCCCTGTTGGCAGTTCGAGTGCCCTAAATTCATACATGCTTCAAAAACCTAAAAAAGCAGTCAATGTAGATGCTGCTACAGAGGTCAAAGGCCTGTAATAAGCCTGGCAGAGATATGAGTTATAAACTAGTTTCTTGGGCCTGCTGCATGTGGCAGGAAGCTTTCAAAGGGCAATATGGGAAGTAAAGATTACTCGGGCCTTTGGAGGCCCTTTATGGCCAGCTGTGATTACAGTCTGCTTAGATACACAGTTAAATGAGAGAATCACCGCTTTGTCCTGTGGAGCCTAGAATGTGTTCAATGGTCAAATCATGCCCGCAGATCCAAAGGGTATTCCAGGTCAAGCGGGATGAGGCATGTTAGGTTTGTTTTATGTTTCCACATGTAGCAAACCAGGAGCCTTTGGGGGGGGATAGAAGGTGACTCTGACCTTGTCACATCGAAGTAACATCCAGCCTTTCCCTTTGCCTCTGTTGACAGACTAACACAGACGGTCTTCAAGAGCTCGCCTGCGGGGGTTTGATTTACTGCTTGGGAGTTGTGTTCTTCAAGAGCGATGGCATCATTCCGTTTGCCCATGCCATCTGGCACCTGTTTGTGGCCACCGCCGCTGCCGTGCACTACTATGCCATTTGGAAGTACCTTTACCGAAGTCCCGCGGACTTTATTCGACATTTATGACCAATCTGTGCTAGGTCTTCTGATCAGTATTATCTCAGTTGAGGCGCTCGGGTCGGGGTGAGAGCTGAATGTTGCACAGGGAAGAAGAAGAAGCAACTTGCACTGACTTGGTTTAATTTTTTTGACTCTAATTACTGTGAAAGTATAAAAGCTGTGTCCTGGAGTCTTCCTCCTCCCAGCCAGCAAATGAGGTAGTGAATTAATTCTTCATTCCATTCCACTATCATGAAGGACTCTGGGTAGACTTGGCCAACTGATGTTTACAAACCAGAATTTTGTATTTTCGTTTTACAGATTTTACTAGATGAGTTTTTCTAAATTCCTAGGCCAGGTTGTCAAAGTCAGTGCAGTCACGCGACTTCCTTTTTAAGAAAAACAAAGAGTCGTTTCTACCACTTTTCCCGGTCACTGTTAAAGAATCATGGAAACATCACACTACTTTCTACCATGTTTCATCTTGACATAACATGATTGTTTTTTTTAAAAAAAAGAGGCTGTAGTTGTTTTGTAAATTTTTTAAAAGCTGTTTCATTGACGTGCACCCACACGGTTCCTCCTCCATGTCAAGTTCTGCAGCAAGCGGTCAACATTCCACAAACAAACATACCTCTTCTGATGGTTTTATTCAGAATTTGCCAATTTAAAAAAAAAACCCACAAAACTGCAGTTTTCCCAACCTTTCTGCCAATCTCTGACCCCGAATTCTGTGCTGCTGTGGGGCTGATAAACCCGACCTGGTGTGGCCCACCAGGGATGAAGAAGTATTTGGATATCATTGCCTTGTTCAGAGGACGTCGCTTCGGTCCATGCCTTTGCCAGGTTTTCTCCAGGGTCTCTTTCCACAGCGGAGGAGGATCCTGTGCGTATTATGATAGTATTGTTGGGTTGCCCGTCGGCCAGACACTTCTCATGAGCGTTCTGAATTATGGTGAATTGTTGTCACGTTGGTGGCCAACGGTTCGGTCGTTGTGGTTAAGTCACTGAACTTTCTTGTATCAGTTGGATATTCATTTGAAATTGTGCGACTAGATATATAAATTCACATTTCTGCCTTTTCCTCTGCATTTCTCAATATACCGTTTCTTTTCATACCATTTATAAAACTTGGATTGACACATAGAAACTCATATCAGTGGTCCATGGTTTTATGCTGACTCAGTGGAGTGGTATTTATATATTATTTCTAGTTTTCTCTCAGTGTCTTATATTAAGATTGATGTATCAGTTGCTTTGTTGTTCATCTTTCTTGGGGTTTAAGAGAAATGAAGTCACCTTGCCTTTAGATCAGATGTGAATATAACCTGTTTGCTTAGAAACAGGCTCGCTCGATGGAGCTGTCAGGTTGAACATCTGCTTTATTAACTGAAATTCTGTACCACTGTAATTTTAAAAGAAAGTTTATTTTGTGTGTATGTTCAGGCTCTGATTTGGGGAAATTGTCAAGGCATGACAGAAGAATGGATACTTGCTGGTGATTTCTTCAGAGAGCAAAGGGCACCCAAGGATCGTACCAGCCGGGTCACTCTCTTTGCATGATTCTGAACAGTGAGCTGCCTGTTGTTTGACTGTGTATAATATTTTATTTTAAATATATTAACCTTTGTGGATTCATTTAAGGTCTCCTCATAAGCAACACTGTCAAAACCACTAAAATGTATGTAAAAACGTGTGCTGTAGATTAGAATAAAGTTGTTACTTGGGTTGACTCTGTTGTCTGGAGCATATGGCTGAAAGTCAGGCTGGGTGTTTGAGCGCTCGAGCGTATCACACATTTGTAGCTTGTGTAGTCATCTTCCAGAACTCAGAACGGAGAGGAAAACAAAACGGCCCCTTTCCTGTTTCGCTTTCTGATCTGCCTGCTGAATACTGACTTGCCAGAGCTAACTCAAGCACCCATCAACACATTACCAGTTTGCCTGCGTGCCGGGTGTGATGATGTTCACATGAAATCTCAGCATTTAGGAAACTGAGCTGGGAGGGTTTTAGGTCAAGTCCCAGCTACATAGTGAGAGATCATAGCATATATATAATAGGATTTTGTTTGTGTGTGTGTGTGTGTGTGTGTGTGTGTGTGTGTGTGTGTGTGTGAAAGAGAGAGAGAGAGCGTGCGTGCGTGCAAAATGACAGTGGTTACTTTTAAAAAGCCAAGCCACACAGCTTGAAGAGACCACTCCATCCCTCCCTGCAGATAGTTAGAAGCTGCCTGTGCTGTGGTCTAATTGCTGCCTCTGATTTATGCTCCTAACCAGCACCTGGCTCTCCCAAGCTCTTTGTCACGTATGCTATTGAACTCAGTCACTTGATGTGAAAGCTCCCCTAATAGGTTGTAAAAAGTTCAATTTCTCCTCTATTGGGAGTTGGGTCTAGAGACTTCACTGGGGATTTGTTCAAGGAGGTATTCTGAAGACAGCTCTCTGAAGAGACTCTTCCGGCCTTCTCCCATCAACCGTCTTGTGGCAGATTGTTTGCTCTCTGTCTCTCCCTCTCCTCATTATCAGTCCTGAGTGAAACTCCTCTCCAGGTTTCTAGGAGAGCCGCTCCCTTGCTTTAGGGCCCTGCCACCATTCCTTCTTCAGTGTATGATAGCATCTGCTGTGTCCTGCTCTTCCTCCCATCCCGAGTCCAGAAGGTTAGCCGTTTATGTCTTTACCCAGGGCAGCTTTTGCTTAGCTTATGTAATGCATTGTGTGATTCAGATTAAAAACTTGCGTGTGACCAATGGCGAGGTTACTCAGCACTATAACCCTAACCACAGCTCAAGTGTTAGGTGTCATTTCTTGACTTTTGTTTCTGGTGCTGGGGATAAAACTTAATACCTACACGCTGGGTAAGTGTTTTACCCGTGGAGCTACACCCCCTAGCCCCTCTCTGTACGTCAGGCAGTAAGAGGGAGGTGACTTGCTTCGGACTGCTCCATCCTCAATTGAGGAAAGGCCCTGGGTCAGCCCAGCTCCAGAGCCTTGCTTTTGCCAGGTACCACTGCCTTGCTAGAGTCAGCAAAGTCAAAGAACTTGAACCGGATATTCGCCAAGCGTGGACACGGGAACGAAAATGGTTTCCATACAGTTGAGAGTCTCGGTAAGTGCCAGAAGACCCTTCAATGGCACTTTGAAGCCATTTTCAGGAATTCTGTCCACTAGCCCCAGGGTGCTAGCACCCATTTCTAGAGTGCCCGCCCACCTGTGCGGCCCCCCTTATGTCTCCTGTCTACAGCAGTCCTTAACGACTAAGATCTCTCTTACCACCAGCCCACCCATCCTTGATTTCTCCTCCCACTGTTCCCACAGCCAGTCTTCACAGCTGTAATCTGTGCCTTCCTTACCCCTCCATGATAGACTTGCTTGCCCTGCCCCACCCCCGCAGCAAGGATCTAGAAAATCCTAGTTAGTCCTCAGACTACTGCAGCTGCCCTCTTGTTGGTTTCTGCCCCTGCAGAACCTTCTCTGAACAAGCAAGCCTCCACATTGCTGCCAGCATCGTCTGAAATCAGACCTGTGATCGTGGACTCGGCTTTGCAACATCCATAGATTCCTGCCCAGTGCTTCGGCCTGGACTCTTCTCACACAGACTCCCCTGTGGTTTTGCCTCTCCTAAAGAAGCCCATGACGTGATTTTCACAACCTCCCATCTGATGCCTGTGTCCTCTTGCTGCTTCTGTGTCCGCTACAGCTAGGCACACGAATTGCGCTTACCCGAACCCTTCTTACCCAGCAACATGCTCGTTCCCAACCGCCAAAATAGGCTAAGCTTTACCTTGGCATGGATGTGGGTGACGGGCTTGGTTAGAAGTCCTCCCATTCAACACAGCAGCTTTGACATTCCTTCCGCAGCTCTATCTCCTGGTCTCTCATCCTGAGAAGGAAGTCTTTCAAAAGGGAAATGAGTCCTACCTACCTCTGTTCTCAGCCTCTAGTGACGCACTGGGCTCAAGCTGAGAAAGTGTGAGGAGCGAAGGAGAAGAGTGGTTGGGGGAGACAGGAGGGCTACTGTTTTGGATCTCAGAACTTGGCTTTTCTGGACTAGTTGGAACTCAGCTTTCAGGTTCAGAAAGCTTGTATAGGCCACAAGGAAGTTGAGAAGCTGGGCTGTCGACGTTAGACGCTACTCTACATAAAGAAAAGTTACACTTGCTTATGGAAGCTTTCATAAAACTCATCAAGAGTTTACAAGCTTAGAGAATAATCCTTGCCTACCTTATTTCCCTAGGGCCCTTCCCCCTTTTCTGACTTAATAATAAAATGAACAGAATCAGCGCTTGGTTCTGCAGCCCTGGGGCCTTCACGCAGATTATGCTAAAGGGCAATAACTTTAAAGCGCTTATTGATATCATACTGTGGATTTTATCCCTGGGTCATGCAAGTGTACAATTCTTGGAAAAATAAAGATAGAAAAAATTGAAATCTCCGAGTTGACTCCTCGGAATATACCTCCATATGCTTCTTGTCAGTCTTCTCTTCCATGGTTATAGGACTTGGTTTTGGTTTTATGCAGCTGTCTATCACATACCTAAAAATTGTAGGGGCTGGAGAGATGATTGGGTGTTGAGAGCATAGATGGCGGCTCTTGTGCAGACCTGTAACTCCAGCCCGTGTGGAACCCAATGCCTTCGGCCTTTGCAGACACCTGCATTCATGTGCATGTGAACAGACATAGAAACGCGTACACAAAATTAAAAATTTTAATAAAAACAAAATTTTTAAGAATGTTTATATGGCATTCCATTTTCCACACTTACCACATGCATTGAAAACTGTCATCTAGCTCTCGGCTGGTGAGATAGGACTAGCTAGCTAGCTCAGCAGGTCAGGGCATTTACCACCAACCTCAGCTCCATTCCCGAGACCTACATGATGGAAGTAGAGAACTAACCCCCAAAAGGTTTCCTCTGACCTCCATGTGTGTGTTGTGGCAGGTGTGCAGCACACACACACAAACATAAATGTTTTCCAAGTGTGTATGATATGTGTTCTAATACATCATTTTAATGGGCAGAATAGTCTTTCTGGCGCAGTACTGGGCACTGAAGCTGAGACCTCATGCATGCTGAACAACTGAGCCAGAATTCTCTGTGGCTCTACCATTTCCCAGAAGCAAAAATTCTGCTTAGCCATGCAGCTAGTTTTGGATTTTTTAGGGCTCTTTTTCAATATTTGATTATTACAAACAGTGCTGGAAGGAAACTAAAGTTTGTCTTTATGATTTATGATTTAAAGGCAATAAGCAACTGTGCTTATTTGATTTTATTTTTATGCACATGGGTGTATAGTCTGCATGCATACAGTGCCCCGGGGATGCCATAGAGTGTTGAATTCCTGGAACAGGAGTGTGGGCATTGAGCCACTATGTTGGAGATTGAACCTGGGTCCTCTGAAAGAGCAGCCAGTGCTCTTATCCACTGGACCATCTCTCCAGCCTCTGCATGATTCTTATAGGGCAAGCACTATTCTGGATTACCAGAGTTATCTCATTCAGCCAACTAAAAAATTATTGTTGGACTCTTTTTTCTTGTTCTCATTTTACATAGGAGGAAGTAACCACAGAACACGAGTTTTTCCCAGGGTTAGTGGTGATGGCCTGGGAGCCAGGAAGCCAGGAAGCCTAGAGTCTATTTTTCATTTTTGTCAGTTCAACATCTAGGTCAAAGTTTCACTGACAGGCTTATCTAGAGGAAGATTTTTCTAGAGATAGTTTGCTCTATCTCTATTTTGTGTGTATGTGTATGTGTGTGTGTGTGTTTGGTGTCTTCAGGTTATGGCTCCTGCCTTATGCCAGTTAGAGTTGAATAGGAAATGACCCCGACCTCAAAGAAGCAACTTCTCCCTCTTGAAGAAGCAAACTAAAGTTTCCCCAGAGGACCTGGGCAGTCTTTTTAGTTTAACCAGGCTAGATTTACCACTCACGAGTCTTTCTGCGGCTCTTGCTGTTTTAAATAGGCAGCACCAATATGTTCTTACATTCTGTGCCGTTCCCACCTACATGCCGGCAGTGTTATCAGTGGTTACTTCCCAAGAGCTGGGGCCGCTGTGCACTCCGGCTGCTTTGCCTGGCGAGTGAAGCGATTCTCATCGGGGCCTGCTTGCTCTAACAAAACCCCCTGTCATTCTACATAGTTTATGATCACTCTGAGGCTCACTGCAGCCAAAGGCTTTAAGTCAAAGTAGGCTGAGGGAGTCTGGGAGACTCCATCTCAGGGGAGAAACCATTGTGCTGGGCCATTCTTGATATACCCGGTTGATGTCGGCCAATGAAAAGACCAGGCCCTGTTTCCACCACACGTATTTGGTTTTCTTAAGATTGCATTAGTGTTTTCTTGATCCCGTCAGTGAATGACGTAATCTGGTCAGCAGAGAATCAGAGCTCCTGGAACACGTTGGCAGGATTAGCTTAGGCAAGTTACGCTGAACCCCGGTTCCTGTCTGCTAAAGGGGTTGATCTGCTTCTGTCAGTGCAGCCACGAGGGGGGAAATGCACGGCATCCTGGGATATTGTTGCCACTAGATAAAATATTCAAGTGCTTCGTTACCATATGGCCAAGCTTTTGAAATGAAGGCTAGAGCCCACCTGGGGAGATCCTTCATGCAGAAGCAGCCTTAAGGAGCTCTTTTAAAATGTTTGTGCATTTCTTAACTTTTAAAAATAACAGCAGGGACCGGAGAGATGGCTCATCAGTTCCGAGCATTTGCTACATTTGGAGAGGACCCACCA